TTATATATCAGATACATTAGCTTTTCTTATTAAAAAATTAAATACAATGTTCTAGTTTATTTTTTCATTTTTAACCAACCTCCCTCTTATTGTATATTACCTTCCCCTTTACCCAAATTAACAAACATCTACCCCTCAGGTCAGTAGCTTATTCTCCCTTTCTCTCCCATCCCTGAGAACCATCAAAGAATGTTTCTTTTAGTGTGAAAACCATTTTGTGACTTTTTACAATAGTGGTTTCCTATAGTATTTACCCTTTAGTGATTGATAAATGTCACTCAGTTTAATGTCTTCGGTTTAGCTGTTGAAATGTTTGACAGATTCATCATTATTCTTTAACATTCCGTAGTATTCCACTGTGTTTAATGTACCAAATCCTCTTTCTCCATTTCTCCACCATGGGCCTTCAAGTGGCTCCCATCTGTATGGCCTCATTGCTCTAGGATGGGTGTCAAAGCGAGGGGTTGCTGAGCCACACTGACATAATCTGCAATAGTGAAAGATCCTTCCCTCTCCCCATTTTTTTTTTTTTTGGCCTGAAAAAGAACTTTAATTCAATTATTCAATATAGTTTTTTATATTTGTCATTAGATTCCTTCTCAAGCTGTTTCCCTTAAAAATATTCCTGTTTAAAACTTATTTTCTTAGATGATAGTATTTCTGCGGCAAGTACTTCTGATGTTCAAGATCGCCTGTCAGCTCTTGAATTAAGAGTTCAACAACAAGAAGATGAAATTACAGTGCTGAAGGCAGCTTTGGCTGATGTGTTGAGACGACTTGCAATTTCTGAAGATCACGTGGCCTCCGTGAAAAAATCAGGTGCAAGTAAAGGTAAGTATGCTGTAAAATAGGAAGTTTCGGGTTTTGTAATTTGGTGGTGGTGGTGGTTAATTAAGATGTAAAAGTCATGGATTTTATTAGTGACATTAAACTTGGAAATGTAAAACTATTTTCTCTTTTGGATTTGTTAGGATTATAGTTTGCATTCCATTTCTTTTTTCTTTAGTCTCAAAATCTGAAATTTTATTATTTCACATTGGGGATTTTTTTGTAATTCCACTGATTTCATTTGCTTTTATGTCAGTGTTTGTCTGAATTTAGTATTTTTCAGCTAAAAAGTAAAAACTTTTAAGGACAGGAACGGAACTTTCCTTATGTGTCTCCTCTAGCATTTCCTATTGTATTTCAAAAACAGTAGGTAAGCATTCATTTATATATATTTTAACCAATGTCGTTATCATTACAGAAACATTAAAATCATATAGCCTTGTGTGGTCACAAGTTAGCAGAATCCTGAAGAATTTCACTTAAATTCTGAAATTCATTGCCAACCCTCAGTTCCATGAGTATTTTAACTTCTAGATATTGAGGCTTTTCATAAGTTGAGAGAAACATTTATTAATACCTCATGGCTATGAGAAAGCTTTGAGCCTTCCTTCAACCACCCAAGAGAATTTTGAATTCTTTTTACATTAATCAAGTAGTCTAGCATAGCATTTCATATAACCCATTGCTTTTTAAAACTTTTAACAGTCTTATTGACATAATTCATGTACCGTACAATGCAGTGGTTTAAATATATTAGAGCTATGCAGTTATCACCAAAACCAATTTTAGAATATTTTCATTTGCCCGTTATTATTAGCTCCCCATTTCCCCCAACCTTCCCTTCCATACCCTAAGAAGCTATCAGTCCAATTACTCTCTCTATCCTATATTTCACCTAAGAAAATCAAATGATAAAAATGTTTTGATACGGATTTTAGTAGCAATTGTACAATACTGCTTGATGTGATTGCACTATGGAATGATATATCTGTAATAATGATATAATTTGTAGCATCAATAAAATGGCTTGGGGGGAAAAAAGAAAATCAAACACACACACACACCCCAAACAAAAAACAACAAACAAAACTTAAAACCAAAACCCAACACATACACACAACCCTAAATCAAAAAGAAAGCAGAAAATAATAAAAACTAGAGCAGATTTAAAATCAAAAGGGAGAATAAATGATAAGATGTTAAATTTTAGCCAGCTACACCCACATGAAGTCACTCTCCTGTGCACTGTGACAGAAAGGCTGTTTACATGCCTGGGTACTGGTCAGAGAGGGTCACTGGGTTCCTCTGGAGACTCAGTCCATAGGAGGACTTTGCAACTGGATTTTGGGTTTTCACCGTCATCCAGAACCTGCTACAAACTGTGTGTCAGAATTTGAGCTCTAATACCGTTCCATCCTCCGATCTTGGATTTTATTATGTATAGTCCTTGGATCACACAGGCAGATGTGCTTCTTTACCCGACACCTCACCCAGATGGCAGCCTTTAGGAGACCCACATGCTTTTCCCTCTGGTGGCAGGCCCTGTCTGTGTCTTCATGCTGTGCTAGCATGCATGCCTTCAGTGGTCTCTTCATGAGGAGGTGTGCCAAGTACGGCCACTTCACAAGAAGTTGCTCGGAGATTAGGGCTTAATGATTAAGTGCAAGCTGAAAATCCATTCACATGTCTAATCTATGGTCTATATGGCGCTGGTCCACTTTAGAGATATTATCATTTTATTGGGGCACATTATAAATAATCCCATGGAGTTTGTGGTAATTCTATTAATTAAAACAAAAATACCAAACTTACTCACTGCCACCGGATCAATTCTGACTTACAGCAAACTTATAGGAGAGGGTGGAACTGCCCCTGTGGGTTTCTATGTCTAACTCTTTCTGGCAGTAGAACGCCTCTTGAATTTAATAGTATCGTTAATTTAGCCAGTGGTATATAGACTATAAAATACTGTTGAGAAGAGGAAAATATGCAGGTATAGGACAGCTTTTTAGACTACAATGCATGGATTGTTGACTTGTAGAGATTAAAAATTTACCTGACCTGACCCTATTGACACAAAGAACGAAGGTTGGAGATACGGCAAAACTTTCAGTAACACTCATTCACAAAGGCAGAACCGTTCCTTTCATGTCATAAGAAAGCAGGAACAAAATTAAAATAGTAAATATATGGTGGTTCCTGTTCACCATTCATTGGCACCCTCAAAGCAAGAGATCCTAACTAAAATTCTCTCATTAGGGTTCTGTATGACTAATGTTAAATGTTTTTCCCAATGGCTATTTCCACCATTTCTTGATGAAGTGAATGGGGATAGGCATGATTATCCCCATTTGAGAAAAAGGAGGTTTATTGGCTTAACCTTCCCACTACAACAAGCCAATGTAAATTATTTATGTAGAGATAAATAATTATCTTACATAAATTCCAGATTTTAGCTACCTACAAGATATAGTGCAGAAAACTAGACTTTGAAGAGCAGACTTAGAAGGTGAGAACAGTTTCTGAATGCTGAGTTTCAGGTGGCTCATATGACATATAGATGGATAATACAGACAGTTGAATTGCAGGTCTAGCTAGTTGAATTGCTACTCTTGGATACAAATATTATCCCCATTTGTGGTTATGTTTGATTGTGGAATGTGGGAATGTTTAATTTATGGATAAAAGTTGAAGCCATTGAAAGATGATGTAAAACTTTAAGGAAACTCGATTGTTCCATTGTGAATGCCAACATTTATGTTTTCATAGAGAGGTAAAATAAAGCAAAAACAAAGGTGACCACTGAACTTGGAATTGATGTTATTTACGGGACTTGAGAATCTATCAGAACCTGATTGAAATCTCTAGCTAATGATGCTATTCTGTTGCTTGCTTGTTTGTGTTTTGAGGACGGTTTTATTCCCCAGGAACTTGCCTTTTATACTAGGTTGTTTTTCAAGTACTTATTTTTTCCTTTGTCTCTAATGATGGAGCCGTGGTGGTGCAGTGGTTAAGCATTGGGCTGTGATCCACATGGTCGACAGTTCAAAACCACCACCAGCTCCCGGGAGAAAAGGGCGGGCTTTCTACTCCCTATAAGTAGTTACAGTCTGAGAAACCCACAGGGGGTTACTATGAGTCAGCATTGACTCTGGTAGTGAGTGAGCGGCTCTAAAGTGCATCTCAGTTTTGTTTTGGCACTTTAGTACAAACTCTTATCTATAATATTATCAAAGAGATACTATAATTTCCTTTTAGTGGATTACAGAATCTTACTCTATAAGTTAATTATCACAGTTAATGTGGATTCGATCTGAAATAGTGTTCACTTGTGATTATTCTTTGAATCGTGTACCCGTTGGGCTTAATTTCCATTGTTAAAATGAATTGATGTGAAGATTAGTTATGTAATTATCTGGGAAGGTTAGTATTTTACAGATGACCATAGTCTGTTGCTGAGAATTAATTACTGTCTTTCCCATTAATTCCTTACTGCCATCACGTCAGTTCCAGCTGTTAGTGACCAAATGGCTTAATATAACTGCCCCACGTGAATGTTCGAGCCTATAAATCTTTGTGAGAGCAGATAGCCTCATTTTTCTCCCTTGGAGCAGCTGGTGGATTCAAACAATCAACCGTGTGGTTAGCAACCCAACCTGTAGCCCACTAAGCCACCAGAGCTTCTTGTATTTCCCATTTAAGGGCAGAAGGAACACTGCCTATCCAGAGAAATATCTTAAAGTTTCATTAATTTTATTTACAACATTGTAGAGTTTTTATTTTAATCTATAGAGTAATTGGAAAGGATATTAAATGATTCACAATGCTGGCATTTGTGTACAGGCTAAAATAGATCATGTCATTTTTTACATTAAATGGATTAAGGTGTTAATGATATTAATATTTGGGATAAATATTTCAAGCTAAATATTTTCAAGTAAATAATTCTTTTATAAAATAGCTTTTAGGGAAGTGTTTTCTTTGAATGAATAAGTAGAGTTATTTCTGGTGCTTTGTACAATTTTATCTAATAGGTGAAGTTACTAGTCTCTTATGAAATTAGAATTTGTGGTGTTTGCCTTCAGATAAATTAATGATAGGATAATAGTCCCTATCATCTTCTTAAGGTGTTATGATTTTTCTTTAGAGGTTGAACTAAGGCTTTGTGGGTAAATAGGGTGGGCCCTTTTATGAAGCTGAGGTTCAAAGGTTAGACAGCTATTAAGTAGTTTTCTGAGATGGTGATGGTAGGGGGATATGACTTTTCTTTAGGTTTGGGTAAAACGAAATATTAATGATCTGTGTGCTAATAGCTTAATGACATTTTACTATGTCACTTCATAGAAGTGTTGCTATTCAATAAATGCCCAAATCAGAAGCACACCTCGTCATTTCAGTGTTTTTAGTTCTAGATGGTTTATCTTCGCCAGTGTGCCAACAGTATTAAAAGCCCATTTGTTTCTTGAGTATATCATGCCAGATTACTTAGCTGAGGTAGAAAGTTTTCCCAGTAGTTTTTAAGGGCCTTTAAATTTCTCATATACCATCTCTTCTGTTAGGGAATTCTTTCCTTTTGACGACATATGCTCATGATATATACACTAGTTGCAACTGAATCTCTGCCAAAGGAGGTGGGGGTGCCGGGGGTGGGGTGGGTGGGTGGGGGTAAGGATTACCTGCACTTTGGAGCACAAGGGAAGGCCCAGAGAACACTTTAGCATTTGAAACTGCCAGGAAGACAGATTAAGTCGCAGCTGGTGCCTGGGAAACCCATTAAGACCTCTTGGGGAGACAAAATGAATGTGCTTTGAAAATAGCCCAGTGGCATTATGTGAAGGAAGACAAGCTGTTAGTGCACAATGATATAAAAGTAAAGGAGTCAAATTTATCTGAAGGTCATTTGAACCCGTAAACTGCTGGTAAACGAAAGGTCTCCAGCGTTCTAGCTGCCACTTGAAAATGAGAGAGCCCAGAGGCTCTGGGCTCTCTCAAGTTGGAACGTT